AAAAGTCGATGGTGTTATTTTAGGACAAGTACAGAAATTTAAGTATCTGGGCACACGGATAACATCAGATGGAAGATGCATAACTGAAATAAGAAACAGAATTGGACAGGCAAAAACTGCATTTTATAAAATGAAAAACATCTTGTGCAATATATCCTTGTCATTGAGAGTTAGAAAAAGAATTCTTGCTTGCTACATACATCCATTTTTAACAAATGGCTGTGAATCCTGGACAATCGTTAGGCATTCCAAACAATTTCTTGAGGCTTTAGAGATGTGGTTTTACAGAAGAATGCTTAGAATACATTGGACAGCCAAAAAGAGCAACCAAGAGGTTTTGAAAAAGGCGGGAGCCCGAAGACAACTTATCACAGACATCAGAAGGAGACAGTCATCATTTTTCGGCCATGTTATGAGAAGAGGGAAAATAGAACATGTTGTGACCACTGAAAAGATCTGTGGAAGGAGGGATAGAGGAAGACAACGAGAGAAGATGTTTGACAGTCTTGTTGCATATCATGGAGGTGTGTCGGCACACGAACTGATACATGCTGCAGGAGATAGCAGATCGTGGCGAGGGCTGGCGCCAGCAGTGCTCACTACAAGAAGGTTGGTGAACGAACATAGAACGGCAACGCACCTGATGATGACGATGATGAAGATGTTGATGATGATGCAGTAATTGGAGTGAAATTACCTCACTATCTTATGTGAAAAACCTTTCGCAAAGTAAATCTCAGTAGAATTAAAGAGGCGGCTGATAAAATCATGAGAGAAGAACACTCTGGTTTTCGAAATGGACGAAGTTGGCTCAATCAAAAATGACCCTGAGACTTTTTCTACAAGAACATTTTGAGAAACAACCAGCTCCACACCTGACTGTCACTGATTTCAAGAAGGCCTTGAACATCTGACAGAGAATTCCACTGCGGGAAATGTTGTAATGCTACAGCATACAAGATAACCAAATACGCATCGCTAGAAGTGCATACAGTGGTTCACAATGTGCAGTGCGTAGTAAAAATGGTCAAGGTAAAGTCGGGAGATGTGAACCAGCGTCATTGCACACGGTTATAAACCATAAGTGCTCTGCCACCAGTACAGACAGCTGTCTCTCTCCAGTTGTTGTACTAACTCTGCCATAGTCTCTCTCCAGTTGTTGTACTAACTCTACCATAGTCTCTCTCCAGTTGTTGTACTAGATCTGCCATAGTGTCTCTCTAGTTGTTGCACTAACTCTGCCATAGTCTCTCTCCAGTTGTTGTACTAACTCTACCATAGTCTCTCTCCAGTTGTTGTACTAACTCTGCCATAGTCTCTCTCCAGTTGTTGTACTAACTCTGCCATAGTCTCTCTCCAGTTGTTGTACTAACTCTGCCATAGTCTCTCTCCAGTTGTTGTACTAACTCTGCCATAGTCTCTCTCCAGTTGTTGTAGTAGATCTGCCATAGTGTCTCTCCAGTTGTTGTACTAACTCTGTCATAGTATCTCTCCAGTTGTTGTACTAACTCTGTCATAGTCTCTATCCAGTTGTTGTACTAACTCTGTCATAGTCTCGCTCCAGTTGTTGTACTAACTCTGCCATAGTCTCTCTCTAGTTGTTGTACTAACTCTGCCATAGTCTCTCTCTAGTTGTTGTACTAACTCTGCCATAGTCTCTCTCTAGTTGTTGTACTAACTCTACCATAGTCTCTCTCCAGTTGTTGTACTAACTCTGTCATAGTATCTCTCTAGTTGTTGTACTAACTCTGCCATAGTCTCTCTCCAGTTGTTGTACTAGATCTGTCATAGTGTCTCTCCAGTTGTTGTACTAACTCTGCCATAGTGTCTCTCCAGTTGTTGTACTAGATCTGTCATAGTGTCTCTCCAGTTGTTGTACTAACTCTGCCATAGTCTCTCTCCAGTTGTTGTACTAACTCTGTCATAGTCTCTCTCCAGTTGTTGTACTAACTCTGCCATAGTCTCTCTCCAGTTGTTGTACTAGATCTGTCATAGTCTCTCTCCAGTTGTTGTACTAACTCTGCCATAGTCTCTCTCCAGTTGTTCACCTAACTCTGCCATAGTCTCTCTCCAGTTGTTGTACTAACTCTGCCATAGTCTCTCTCCAGTTGTTGTACTAGATCTGTCATAGTGTCTCTCCAGTTGTTGTACTAACTCTACCATAGTCTCTCTCCAGTTGTTGTACTAACTCTACCATAGTCTCTCTCCAGTTGTTGTACTAACTCTACCATAGTCTCTCTCCAGTTGTTGTACTAACTCTACCATAGTCTCTCTCCAGTTGTTGTACTAGATCTGTCATAGTGTCTCTCCAGTTGTTGTACTAACTCTACCATAGTCTCTCTCCAGTTGTTGTACTAACTCTACCATAGTCTCTCTCCAGTTGTTGTACTAACTCTACCATAGTCTCTCTCCAGTTGTTGTACTAACTCTACCATAGTCTCTCTCCAGTTGTTGTACTAGATCTGTCATAGTGTCTCTCCAGTTGTTGTACTAGATCTGCCACAGTCTCTCTCCAGTTGTTGTACTAACTCTACCATAGTCTCTCTCCAGTTGTTGTACTAACTCTGTCATAGTCTCTCTCCAGCTGTTGTACTAACTCTGCAATAGTCTCTCTCCAGTTGTTGTACTAACTCTGCCATAGTCTCTCTCCAGTTGTTGTACTAACTCTGCCATAGTCTCTCTCCAGTTGTTGTACTAACACTGTCATAGTCTCTCTCCAGTTGTTGTACTAACTCTGTCATAGTCTCTCTCCAGTTGTTGTACTAACTCTGCCATAGTATCTCTCCAGTTGTTGTACTAACTCTGCCATAGTCTCTTTCCAGTTGTTGTACTAGCTCTGCCATAGTCTCTCTCCAGTTGTTGTACTAACTCTGCCATAGTATCTCTCCAGTTGTTGTACTAACTCTACCATAGTCTCTCTCCAGTTGTTGTACTAACTCTGCCATAGTATCTCTCCAGTTGTTGTACTAACTCTGCCATAGTCTCTCTCCAGTTGTTGTACTAACTCTGCCATAGTCTCTCTCCAGTTGTTGTACTAACTCTGCCATAGTCTCTCTCCAGTTGTTGTACTAACTCTGTCATAGTCTCTCTCCAGTTGTTGTACTAACTCTGCCATAGTCTCTCTCCAGTTGTTGTACTAACTCTGTCATAGTCTCTCTCCAGTTATTGTACTAACTCTGCCATAGTCTCTCTCCAGTTGTTGTACTAACTCTGCCATAGTCTCTCTCCATTTGTTGTACTAAGTCTGTCATAGTCTCTCTCCAGTTGTTGTAATAACTCTGTCATAGTCTCTCTCCAGTTGTTGTACTAACTCTGTCATAGTCTCTCTCCAGTTGTTGTACTAGCTCTGTCATAGTCTCTCTCCAGTTGTTGTACTAACTCTGTCATAGTCTCTCTCCAGCTGTTGTACTAACTCTGTCATAGTCTCTCTCCAGTTGTTGTACTAACTGTGTGTCATAGTCTCTCTCCAGTTGTTGTACTAGCTCTGCCATAGTCTCTTTCCAGTTGTTGTACTAACTGCGTGTCATAGTCTCTTTCCAGTTGTTGTACTAACTCTGCCATAGTCTCTCTCCAGTTGTTGTACTAACTCTGTCATAGTCTCTCTCCAGTTGTTGTACTAACTCTGTCATAGTCTCTCTCCAGTTGTTGTACTCCAGAGCCAGTGAGTACTGTGCTATGTGATGTACCAGAGTCATTGAGTACTGTGCTATGTGATGTACCAGGTTCAGCGAATACTGTGCTATGTGATGAACCAGGGTCAGTGTGTACTGTTCTATGTGATGTACCAGGGTTAGTGAGTACAGTGCTATGTGATGTACCAGGGTCAGTGTGTACTGTGCTATGTGATGTACCAGGTTCAGTGAGTACTGTGCTAAGTGATGTACTAGGGTCAGTGAGTACTGTGCTATGTGATGTACCATGGTCAGTAAGTACTGTGCTATGTGATGTACCGGGTCAGTGAGTACTGTGCTATGTGATGTACCAGGGTCAGTGAGTACTGTGCTATGTGATGTACCAGGGTTAGTGAGTACTGTGCTATGTGATGTACCAGGGTCAGTGAGTACTGTGCTATGTGATGTACCAGAGTCAGTGAGTACTGTGCCATGTGATGTACCAGAGTCAGTGAGTACTGTGCTATGTGATGTACCAGGTTGAGTGAGTACTGTGCTATGTGATGTACCAGAGTCAGTGAGTACTCTGCTATGTGATGTACCAGGTTCAGTGAGTACTGTGCTATGTGATGTACCAGAGTCAGTGAGTACTGTGCTATGTGATGTACCAGGGTTAGTGAGCACTGTGCTATGTGATGTACCAGAGTCAGTGAGTACTGTGCTATGTGATGTACCAGGGTTAGTGAGTACTGTGCTCTGTGATGTACCAGAGTCAGTGAGCACTGTGCTATGTGATGTACCAGAGTCAGTGAGTACTGTGCTATGTGATGTACCAGAGTCAGTGAGTACTGTGCTATGTGATGTACCAGAGTCAGTGAGTACTGTGCTATGTGATGTACCAGGGTTAGTGAGTACTGTGCTATGTGATGTACCAGAGTCAGTGAGTACTGTGCTATGTGATGTACCAGGGTTAGTGAGTACTGTGCTATGTGATGTACCAGAGTCAGTGAGTACTGTGCTATGTGATGTACCAGGGTTAGTGAGTACTGTGCTCTTTGATGTACCAGGGTTAGTGAATACTGTGCTGTGTGATGTACCAGGGTCACCGAGTACTGTGCTATGTGATGTACCAGGTTCAGTGAGTACTGTGCTATGTGATGTACCAGGGTCAGTGAGTACTGTGCTATGTGATGTACTAGGGTCAGTGAGTACTGTGCTATGTGGTGTACCAGGGTCAGTGAGTACTATGCTCGTTGATGCTACTGCGAACAGCAGAGATTACAGCAGAACGTGCCAGATTATAAATAAATTGATTCTGTACAGTTGTGCATATTCTTGTTGGAAACAGGAAGTGACCAGATAAAAATGTTTTCTTGTCTGTTACTTAAGGCGGAAGTGACGACAATAAAGAGCTAAATGGGAGCAAGAGAAGGCGTACTCGCACCAACTTCACGGGATGGCAGCTGGAAGAGCTGGAGAAAGCTTTCCAAGACTCGCACTACCCGGATGTGTTCATGAGAGAGGCCCTGGCGCTGAAACTGGACCTGGTGGAGAGTAGGGTGCAGGTTGGTGTCAACTTGTTGTTACTCTTGTGAGTTTTTGTGGGTGAGTGTGTGTGTGTGTGTTTGTGTGAGTGAATTTGTGTGTGTGTGAGTTTGTGTGTGTGTGAGTTTGTGTGAGTGAGTTTGTGTGTGTGTGTTTGTGTGAGTGTGTTGTGTGAGTGTGTTTGTGTAAGTGTGTTTGGATGTGTGGGTGTTGATGTTTGAATATGTGTATGTGTGTGTGGTAATGAATTGTTGTGTAGGTGTTGGTGATGTTTGGATATGTTGGTGTGCTAATGAATGGATGTGTAGGTTGTTGATGTTTGGATATGAGGATGTGTTAATGAATGGATGTGTAGGTGTTGTTCATGTTTCTATTTGTTGGAGTATTAATGCATGGACATGTAGGGGTGTTCATGTGTATCAAGATTATATGTTACAAAAATAAATTAAAGACACATTCCTGTGTCTTGTGACACACCGTGTGTGTGTGTGTGTGTGCATGTGTGTGTGTGTGTGTTTGCATTGTGTGCATGTGTGTGTGTGTGTGTGCGTGTGTGTGAGGCCAGGCAGACATTTTGATGCTCAGACCGGTAGGTCATGGATGATGACGACACAATCGGGTTTACTTCCCAAAGCATGACCTGTTTCACAGTTGTGGCTGGGTCAGATGTGGTGCCCGTGCCATTTGTTTTAAATATCAGCACATCGATGCTGGTTAGAACACATGGTAACCAGCAGACACATGCAATAACCACTCTACCATGTTATCCAACACATACACAACAACAACCGACACGTAGGCTAACCACTCAACATCAAACACTATATAACAAATACACAACAACAACTGACACGTAGGCTAACCACTCAACATCAAACACTATATAACAAATACACAACAACAACCGACACGTAGGCTAACCACTCAACATGAAACACTATATAACAAATACACAACAACAACTGACACGTAGGCTAACCACTCAACATGAAACACTATATAACAAATACACAATAACAACAGACACGTAGGCTAACCACTCAACATGAAACATTATATAACAAATACACAACAACAACCGACACGTAGGCTAACCACTCAACATGAAACACTATATAACAAATACACAACAACTGACACGTAGGCTAACCACTCATTATCCAACACATTAACAACTACAAGAGACATGCAGGCTAACCATTTAGTTTCGACTGGTTCTTGACAGGATCGTTGACTAATTAATTAGTTGGGGGCGGGAAATTGACCCCACCCCCTCCCCCCTCCACCCCACCCCTCTCCACCCACCCCTCTTTGTCTTATTTATCCTTGTCCGTTCATGACTGTGTAGAAAGCATGTAGAGAGGGCCCCCACTCCCCCCGCCCCCCAAAAAGGGGGGGGGACAATGTCACTCCATGGTTAACGTGGTCAATATCTCAATGTCAGACTGACCGCCTTTGTTTCCCAGGACAGTTCCTGGTATCTATTTTGGCTAAAAGTCTGCCTGACAGTCTGTAAACATTTCTCCTCCTATCCTCTCCTGACGGGTGACTTGGTGCATGACCACTAAGTAGCAGACAAGCGCGCTAGCATCTGTATCTCAGCAAATCTTCTTGCAAGTATAGTTTATATATACTATTGTATTTTTATTGTATACGTTATAAGTATATTTGCGGAATATAGTCAACAGCAAGAAGCAGAAGTTGTAAACTATAACACTGACCTGATCTTCTGCAGGTGTGGTTCCAGAATCGTCGAGCCAAGTGGAGGAAGAAAGAGAACACCAAGAAAGGTCCCGGACGCCCCGCCCACAACGCCCAGCCACAAACATGCAGTGGAGACCCCATGGACGAGGACGAAATTCGCAGAAGAGAGCAGGAGAGGCAGGAGAAGAAGAGGAGGAAGCAAGAGGAGCGCCTTCGCAGACTGGAAGAGAAGCGGAAGTCGGTCAACGGAGGTCAAAGTGCCTCTCTGGCGTCTGAAGACAGAAGCAGAAGTAGGATGAGCTCTGACAGGTTCATGTCTCCGAACTCTTCTCTGTCGGGAAATGATGTCAGCTCTGACGGGTTTTCGGGCCACTTCTCCGCGATAGATGATCGCTGCATTTACCGCAGCAAGTCTGCAGACAGGACAGCCTCCTTGTTCTCTCCACCAACACGATCAGATGAAAACACAACAAACAGCAATATCAAATCATGTCCTTTCAGCATTGACCGACTCCTCGAAGCTCCAAAAGTTCCCCGCGGAAGACGCCCCAATTCCAAATATCCGTTAGTGCAGGCTTGTAAATCTCTAGGGAACTTGAACCTTGGACTGCTTCCGTTCTTCCCTATCACCCAACCAGTGGGTTTTCTAGTCCAGCAGGTCATTCACGCACACAGTCCCCTATCGCCGTCAGCAGAACGCGCAGCCAGAAATGATTCTATAGTTGGTCATGAGGACACCGCAAAGGGTGAAGACTTGCACGACACCGGTGTCGCCTCACTTGGTCATTCTCTCAGACACGGGTCAGATGATATCAGATCTAACCGAAACCAGCAACCGTTTGAGAAGTTTAGCACAGACAATATCGGCGAGTACCATGCTCACCCTTCGCACCACCTGATGGAGGACGTCGGCCAGACAATCTTCGCTCCAGAAACGGACACTGAGGACTTCAGTGTGAGACCCTATACTGACCAGTGCGAGCATCACGGGGGTGACCTCAGTGACAGCAACAACAACAACAACAACAACCAAAACAATAGCGATGACTGTGATGGAGTTGAACACAAGAGTGCGACAACGTTTGACCTAGACAGTTCGGTCAAGGGCGAGGACAGCATGGAAGACATCCGGCCTCAAGACGACAGGTAGATAAAGAACTAAGGGCAGTTGTGTGGAAGAGCAGTAAGTGAACACTGCCAATAGTGTGAACATGGTCAAGTCTGCGAACAAAGCCAATTTGATTAACATGACTAGCTGTGTGAGCCAGACTTATTTTTCAGTATTACTGAACGTTGTCAGTACCCCATATAAGCCTACAGATGAAAAGTATTAATTCAAACATTTAGGGTTGGAGTAACTTTTTCCCGCTCAGAAAGAGACTTCCTTTCGTATTAATGATTCGTCGCGTCACAGGACCTCTCCTATGTTGCGGGAGTGTTATGATATGGCTTGATTTGGCGTTCGCTCGGTGTATGTAATGTTTATGGGAGGTTGTGTGGTGGTGAGTCTCTTCGAGGCACCGCAGGCACCTGCGTTCAAGTAAGAGATACGGCAGGTGCGACGGTTCATGAGTTTTGAAACTAGGATATTTGTTTTATTTTTTATTTCTACGTTCACCCCCCCCCCTCCCACTCCCCGACACAGAGAAGGCACTGACAAGGAACGTAGGAATAAAAAAAAAAAAACAATCGCATTGCAACACTCCCGAACAGTCGCGCAGGTAGGAACACGTGAAAGTAATCACGCAAGTTAGCGGTGAGAAGACGAGAAAAGAGAGAGCTGTTAAAGCGATGACAGTGAGGAACACGTGACACCCCGCTACATAGGAGAGGCATTGCGACGCGACGAGGCATGAATGGGAAGGGAAGTCACTCTCTTTCTGCTGGGGAAAACTTTACTTGCACCACATTTAGTTATCAGGCAGGTTGTAGACACACATACACGCACACACACACACACTCACACAGAGAGTGAGAGAGAGATGTACACACACACGCACACACACACACACACACACACACACACACACACACACACACATATATATATATATATATATATATATATATATATATATATATATATATATATATATATATATATATATATATATATATAGGCTTTATGAAACTCTTGGGGTGTTTGCAAAAGTCACAGAACGGATAGAAAAAGATCGTTGTTTCACTGTCAGGATGATAGCAGATGAATCTGGTGTTATTAGAGAGACCCTTCGTAAAATGTTAGTGCAAGACTTTGGCAAGACAAAAGTTGCTTGCAGATTTGTACCACATTCGTCTGATGACCAAACATATCAGAGTGTTTGAGAACCTATGAAAAATCATCAAAACAGGACTTGGTCCAAAAACAAGTGTTTGTTCTCAACCATCCACCATATTCCCCAAATTTGTCTTCCTGTGATAATTTTCCTATCCCAAAATTATAGTTACCATTGAAAAGACGCTTCTTTGACGATATAGATTTTATCAAAAGGGCCGTAACATCGACTTTAAGGGCCATATGAACAGAAGAACTACAGAGGTTATTCCAGTGTTTGTTAGATCATGCCTCTCGGTGTATCAATGCACAAGTGGCTTTAAATAAAATACAGGTTATATTTTCAACTGTTGATTATTTTAATTTGTAGAAAATTAGTCTCATTACTCAATTGTCGGACCGTGTATTACTAGGTGGAAAAGTTGGTATCTGGCATTGCATCCATAAATCCCGTTCCCCTGTACGATGCATTTGTGGTTCTTCTGAAGCCCCACCCTGAGTGTTGCCGGGGGCCCTAATATAACCTAGCTGGTGAACGGGGTTTCTGCGACCTCTCTACGTATGATCCTCGTCCGAATGGTGGCACTTTGTGTCACCAGGTGTTTATTGCTTAGTGTGATGTCCTGGTAGGGTAAATAGACAGTCAGTCGGTACTTGGCAGTTGCAAAGGGTGGTACATTTAGAGTAAAAAGTTAGTAAACTACCAGGAAAAATATTGATGTATGAGCAAGATAAATGTTGTTTGTGATGTATTACCAGGATACATGTTGACTAATGTATTACTAGGATAAATGTGGATTGATATACTAGCCGGATAAATATTGATTGATTTATTACCTGGAAAATGTTGGTATGTTGCTAAAGTTAAAAAGTTTATATTTTACGATGGTGAAAAGTTTACATTACGCGTTTATGTTTTAAACCGTATAATTAACTGAGATTCACTACCTGTCTCTTTCTACGGCTCTTACTTTATAGCACACAGTCAAATCAGGGGCGTCAACATACAGAAAACAGTCTGTTTAGGGAGGACTTAATGTGCCTGTGCTCTGTTTCGGTTTAAATAGCTATTAATAATAACAATGAAAGTAAAATACACATTTTAAATTTTACAAGACAGGCTGATTTAAGGCAGGCTGGGTAGTTTGTGGATACTGTATTTCCAAACTGTCGGGTTGTAGAAGTTTTAGCGTTGACGTAACTCCCCTTTGGGAATGTCCGAGTTTACTAATTATGTAAATGTCAAAGTTGACGAGTAAATGCCAGGGTTCACGAATTGGGCAAATGTTGAAGTGGATCAGTTTTGCTAATGTCAGAGTTACGAGATGTGTAAATGCCAGAGTTATGAGATGTGTAAATGCCAGAGTTACGAGATGTGTAAATGCCAGAGTTATGAGATGTGTAAATGCCAGAGTTACGAGATGTGTGAATGCCAGAGTTACGAGATGTGTAAATGCCAGAGTTATGTAAATATTTAGGTTGGCGAGTTCATAATTGTTGGAGTTGATAAGTTTTGTAAATATCGAAATTTCGAGATGCATAAATGTTGAAGTGAACGAGTTGTGTGAATATTGGATTGACTAGCTGTGAAATTGCAAGGACAAGCATTGTGATGTTTTCTTGGCGTCGGCACATGGTCAGTTGCCATGTCTGTCGTCAGGTCATGAGGTTGGGTACATGTACAAATAATGTGTACATCATTGATGTTCAAATAACAATCCTCGTTATACTAAATAATTATGAATGTTTTGTCATTTATTTATGTCAAACGTCCAGTTTCATTTGAGTCAAACATAAACATAATCGATTTCTTGTTCGCCAGATTCTCAAATAACCACTTGTCTCTTCGCCAGATTCTCAAATAACCACTTGCCTGTTCGCCAGATTCTCAAATAACCACTTGTCTCTTCGCCAGGTCCAGGCTCTGTCTAATCTGCCATGTACAAATCTAACCATTTTCTTATCTGCCCTATACATATCTAACCACTTTCTTATCTGCCATATACATATCTAACCACTTTCTTATCTGCCATATACATATCTAACCACTTTCTTATCTGCCATATACAAATCTAACCACTTTCTTATCTGCCATATACATATCTAACCACTTTCTTATCTGCCATATACATATCTAACCACTTTCTTATCTGCCATATACATATCTAATCACTTTCTTATCTGCCATATACATATCTAACCACTTTCCTATCTGCCATATACATATCTATCCACTTTCTTATCTGCCATATACATATCTAACCACTTTCTTATCTGCCATATACATATCTAACCACTTTCTTCATATACATATCTAACCACTTTCTTCATATACATATCTAACCACTTTCTTCATATACATATCTAACCACTTTCTTATCTGCCATATACATATCTAACCACTTTCTTATCTGCCATATACATATCTAACCACTTTCTTATCTGCCATATACATATCTAACCACTTTCTTATCTGCCATATACATATCTAACCACTTTCGTATCTGCCATATACATATCTAACCACTTTCTTCATGTACAAATCTAAACACTTTCTTATTTGCCAAGTACAAATCTAACTACCTTTCTCTTTGCCAAATGCAAATCTAACTACCTTTCTATTTGCCAAATGCAAATCTAACTACCTTTCTCTTTGCCAAATGCAAATCTAACTACCTTTCTATTTGCCAAATGCAAATCTAACTACCTTTCTCTTTGCCAAGTACAAATCTAATTACCTTTCTCTTTGCCAAGTACTAATCTAACTACCTTTCTCTTTGCCAAGTACAAATCTAACAACTTTTCTCTTTGCCAAGATCAAATCTAACTCTCTTTGCCAAGTACAAATCTAACAACTTTTCTCTTTGCCAAGTACAAATCTAACCAAGTCACATTTTTCAGTCACAAATGAAACCACTTTTTTATCTGCCACGTATAAATCTAGGCACTTTCCTATTTGCTAAGTACAAATGTAACCACCTTTCTGTTTGTCGAGTACAAATCTAACCACTTTCTTATCTGAAATGTACAAATCTAAGCACTTTACTATCTGTTATTCACAAATCTAACCACTTTCTTATCTGTAATTAACTAATCTAGCCATTTTCTTATCTGCCGTGTACAAATCTAACCATTTTCTTATCTGCCATTTACAAATCTAACCATTTTCTTATCTGCCGTGTACAAATCTAACCATTTTCTTATATGTCAAATACAAATCTAACCGCTGTCGATTTTTCCGACCATTAACCCAGCCATCTACCTGTTGGACAACCGATACATCAAAAACCCGTACCAAGTTAGCTACCTGCACACCTACCAACCTTTATGTTGCCTGCACACCTACCAACCGTTATGTTACCTGCACACCTAATAACCATATGTTGCCTGCACACCTACCAACCGTTATGTTGCCTGCACACTACCAACCGTTACGCTACCTGCACACCTACCAACCGTTATGTTGCCTGCACACTACCAACCGTTATGCTACCAGCACACCTACCAACCATTATGTTGCCTGCACACCTACCAACCATTATGTTGCCTGCACACCTACCAACCGTTATGTTGCCTGTACACTACCAACCGTTATGTTACCTGCACACCTACCAACCGTTATGTTACCTGCACACCTACCAACCGTTATGTTGCCTGCACACCTACCAACCGTTATGTTGCCTGCACACCTACCAACCGTTATGTTGCCTGCACACCTACCAACCGTTATGTTGCCTGCACACCTACCAACCGTTATGTTGCCTGCACACCTACCAACCGTTATGTTGCCTGCACACTTACCAACCGTTATGTTGCCTGCACACCTACCAACCGTTATGTTGCCTGCACACCTACCAACCGTTATGTTGCCTGCA